GAAGGGGGATGACAGAGGATGAGATGGTTGGATGGCTTCACTGACTCAATGGACATGGGTTTGGGTGGACTCCAGGAGTTGGTGATGGATAAGGAGGCCTGGCGTGCTGCAGTTCATGGGGTCGCAAAGAGTTGGACACGACTGAGTGACTGAACTGAACTGAGGTATGTTCTCTCAAGAATATAACTAACTAAGGAAATGGTACCTGGATTCTACTGCAGTCCCCATTGCAGACTTATCAAATTTCTAACCTCTTTCTTTTACAATTTGGTAAAATTTCTCTGCAGGTCTTACCTTCAAAATACCGAGGGTGGGTGAGAATTTCAGCAGCTCCTTTATAACATCATTATACCCTTTGTTGGCTGCTTTCAATAAAGCTGTTGTACCATCCTTTACAGAGAAAGGAAAAGAAAAGTTGATTATTAACATGTGTGTGTGTTGGCCAAGAATGAAATGTTTGTTGAAAACTAGGAACATGCTTGTCAGAAATAGGCAAAATATGTAAACTAAAGCACAGGGCTGCCATGTCTTTTAAACTAAAATCATTTTAGAGCATATTAAACAGTTAACTCTGCATGTAAAACACCAGACAAACTATGTGACTTATTCTGTTATCTTAGAACCCAGCCGTTTGGGAATTCAAGGTCTTCTAGAATATTGGGGAATTTCAGGAGGATATTTTTAGAACACAGATAGACTAAAGAGGCATTCTTTGCAGTTCACGACTTAGAAATTAATTGGTTGAACTGCTTTTTAAAAGTTTTAAAGTTTTTAATTTTTAATGACTGTTGAACTGTATCTACGGTTTTGAAATTTTAAATGTGCTTTTCTTTTTGTTTTCCCGTGTATACACTCTTGCCTTAGTCTGCCCCGGGTGCGTGGGTACTGTGGGGAGAACAGGAAAGGGGCAGACTGAAATCTGCAGGAAAGAATGCAGAGACAAGTTCAAAAATTAATATTCCGTTTCTGTTGTCCTTTTCTGGCCTGAGAAGAGATTTTCCAATTCCCCCTTTCTCCTGCTGGAACACATCAATTGCTGTATTCGGACGATCTCGCTCACAGACTTCTGTAGTAAAGAAATCACCCTTGCGGTGCAGCTGTCTACAGCCTGGCGAGCCTGGGCACCGCGGGGACCCCAAACCACTGACCCCGCGAGCCAGCTGCACTGCGACCCAGAGGCCAGCAGAAGGCGCAGCGCCAGGCGGACCAGCAGCCAATGGGGACACATCCCCAAGGACCGCCGAGGTCCAGGCTCCTACCTCCCCCATCCTCCCGGGTCATCCAGAGGCTAGCTCTGGTTGGAGGAATATTCTTGAGGAATCCAACATCTTCCCCTTAGAGACTGAGCAGCAGTTGCTAGGTTTCAGTGCATTCAGACCTTTCCCTGGGGTTTCTGTTAAAGAGCAGGAGGAGGTTGGGAGGAAACCCTGGTGAATTAGAGACAAAATGAAGCTGCGTCTTTCTTCTCCGCAAGTCTGGGCTCGGAGGTCAACGCTTCGATGGGAGGCCTCCCCACCCTTCCCGCGCGGTGGCCCCCGCACTCACGTGGCGGGCGGCGTCGCGCTCGGCCCCGCGCAGCAACATCACCCGCACCACCTCGCTGTGGCCCATCTGCGAGGCGATCCACAGCGGTGCTGTCCCGTCCTGCGGGGAGAGGACACGGGGCCGGGGGTGGGGTTGGGGGCGGAAAGTGGTTAGGGCCCAGACACACACAACGAGGGCGATTCTACCCACCGTCTGAGTGTCAGAAAGCTAAAGACGTTGCTCCCCCTCTTTTTCTGTGTTTGCAATCCTCCACCATCACCTCGTTTCCAGGGACTATAATTTTATGCAGGATGTGATGCTGTGTCTTCTGGGGGTTGCTGCAACACTGCCCAGCTACAGCGGAGTGATGGTTTTGGTAACACTTCCTGAGTGTTATTCTTCCTGTGATTATTTTTTTCCTGTGAACACTGGGGTCATGAAACTGAGGTGTGTTGCTCCAGAGAAGGAAAAGTGAAACATCAAAGAGACAAGAGAATTATTTGACAGGAAAGAAGGTGGTTCCTGCTGGTCAGAAAGGAAACTAGAAAACCCTGATAGTGCCAGGAAGGACTCACTAGAGAGGGAGCCGGGAGGCGGGGTCACAAATGTCTGTGTTTTCCGCCAGCTCTGGGTTGAATCTGGGTTGGTAAGTTCGGGTACCAGAAACACTCAGATCAATTATGGTGAATTCCAGTTGGGAAAGGACTTTCTCCTGTTCTTGAGATGAAACCCGGGAACACTGCACGCCCTTAGAGGAGCTCTGCGCTTGGCTGGTGCCTCATGGGTAGAAGAGAAATGGTTGTGGGAGCCGTCTAGACCAATGCTGGAAGTGGTCCCCAATACCCCTGGTCACATCCACCCAGGAGTCCCTGCCTGCCTGCGGGACATCAGAAGTGCTGGCTGAACAGTTGCCCGGAGTGAGCCTGGGTCGGGGAGACAAGGCTACAGAATGTAAAGAGCATAGGTGATGGCAGGACCTGTGTCTGGTAGACCAGTTGCCCCTGACCAGCACAAGAGGCCTAAAGGCCAGGGAGCTGGACAGGCCAGTGGAGGAAGCAGACAGGAGTATTTTTACCCCCACCCCAATGCCACAGTGATACTGTGACCTCTGAGAACCTGGGTCACTTGGAGAGACGGGCAGGAGGAGGGAGAACCCAGAACTGACCAACCTTAACCTCAGATGTAATTAAGGTAATGGAACCCAAAGAGATGGCTTTAGTCAGATGAGACTAAATTACTCATCAATGGGGCTGCGGGCTGAAGAGCAAGATGAATCGGGTATAGAGTCTAAAGTTTCACTTTCCATTGGAGGACATCATTTCAACTCTAGGGTACCGCCTTCAGCAGCCAGAAGGTCACTGCCCACTGATGTCCTGAAATGGACAAAGGACCAAGGCCTTTGAGCAGGGTGGTGGGTGATGGCAAACCAGGAGCCTAGAAGGATCTGGTAGTGCTGAGGGGGGGGTCAGAGGACACTGACACCACTGTCTTGGGGGAGATACAGGGAAGGGGTGCTGGAACAAAGGATGGAAGAAGGCTGGAGACACCTTGACCTACTTCATGCTCTACAAGGCCCTCTCAGACATATCTCTGAACCTGAATATTCTTTAAGATTTTTTTTTTTAAAATATGGGCCACCGGCTTCCTCGTGGCTCAATGGGTAAAGAACCTGCCTGCAATGCAAGACACTACCTGCAGTGCAGGAGATTCAGTTTCCATCCCTGGGTTGGGAAGATCCCCTGGAGAAGGAAATGGCAATGCACTCCAGGAAAATACCATGGACAGAGGAGCTGGTGGGCTATAGTCCATGGGGTTGCAAGAGTAGGACAAAACTTAGTGACTAAACCACCACNGTGACTTTTGAACCCAGGAAGCTGAATGTGAGTTAGAGCATTACTGTCAGATCCAGTTATTTAACAGCTGATTATCTAGTCTGTGAAGAGGACAGGTTTTCCTCTTCTCTACACCACAAATTTTGCTTTTTCATATATTTTCCTTCTATTAGAATCTTCATTGTGACAATGACTTTGTAATAAAACTGATGGCAATCAGGTCAATTTAGGGCCTTTTATAGAGTTTTGGGGAGAAAAGGAGTAGGAAAAACATCTGAAAATATTTATATATAAGTTTTAAATTACTTCTTGACAAAAACATACAGTCAAAGTATATTAAATCAAAGAAACTGTCATGAAGCAGAAGTTAAAACCCCACCAGCACTAAAAAAAGAAACAGAACCTTTAGCTTGAAGATGGGATTCATAGGGGTCATGACAACTGTCATTTACTATTTGTGCTTGTCAAGTAGAAAACAGTTTAGACTTATTTTGCATACCAAGTGATACACTGGCTCAGTGCAAAAAAGGAATGATAAGGTGGGCTGGTTAAAGACTAAATAAGCTGATGAAGTAGTAATGAGATCCCCATGCCTGGAGGGGTTTGACAGTGGCTGATCACCAAACAGTTTCTATATCTGATTTATGGTTAAATAGGGGATTTTTGCAGTTCCTTCCAGCTATGTCATTCCCTCATTCCATTTCAAATAATATTTTCAAGTCTCCTCTATTTTTATACAGAGGTCACAGCATGAGATGGGAGTATATGACATGACTTGTATTAGAGACTAAATTCTATTGGGCCTTTTTTAGGCTCCTAAAGATGATTTAGAAAAAAGAATTAAAACCATTCTTTCCCATGTGCGTACGTGTGTGCTCAGTTGTGTCCGATTCTTTGTGACCCCATGGACTATAGCCTGCCAGGCTCCTCTGTCCATGGGACTTTTCCAGCAAGAATACCAGAGTGGGTTGCCATGCCCTCCTCCAGGGGATCTTCCCAACCCAGGGATCAAACCTGCCTCTCTTGCACTGGCAGGTGGATTCTTTACCACTGAGCCACGCAGGAACACATGGCAATAAGTATATTAAGTGGCACTAGCTCTTTGCTTCTACTGCTTTCTAGCACCTACACTTAGGCTACTTCACTTGCAGGCTCCAGCCAGACAAGAAAGTGCTGAAGACCAATTCTGTCCTAAATTGGGGGAGATTAAGGGCTTCGCAGGTGGTGCTAGTGGTAAAGTACCCGCCTGCCAATGCAGGAGATGTAAGAGATGCGAATTCGATTCCTGGGTCTGGAAGATTCCCCTGGAGGAGGGCAGGGCAACCCACTCCAGTATTCTTGCCCGGAGAATCAATCCCATTACAGAAGAGCCTGGCAGGCTCTAGGCCATAGGATAGCAAAGAGTTGGATGCAACTAAGCAACTTAGCATGCACGCATGCAAGAGATTACAAGGAACCTCATCGGTAACACTGGGGTGTTCAATATGAAGACAACTTTGCTACCAGCCCTGGAGCCCTGACCTGGAGCCCATTTCTCAGTACTGTGTCCTTCTATTCTGTGTCCTTGGTCCAGCAAACAAGTCTGTAGAAGATGCTACCTGATGCTTGCATTGTCCACACTGTGACCCATTCTCCTAGTCACAGGTGATCAGACCAAGGATGGGCAGGCCAGCCATGGCCTGGGGAGCAGGGATGAGCTTCAATGACATGGCTACCCCAAGAGTTTTGGAATCTGACCTGGAAACTTGGGGACCATATACAAGATAAGTGGACAGAGGAAGCCAATCAAAATAAAAAGGAGTGGGGAGCGAGAGAGAGAGAGAGAGAGGCAAGAAAGGACTTTGAGATGACAGACACTGCTTGACTTATGAGAGAAAAAAAGCAGCCTTGATTTCTGATGGGTTTTCTGTTCCAGGGAGGCAGGAAGGCCTGGATGGACTAGGAATGAAAACAGCAAAACCTAACATTCACTAAGCCCTTGGTATATACTGGCCACTGCAGGAAGTTTTACAGGAAGTTTTACAGGGATTTTTTTTTAATGCTCACAGTACTCCCAAAGCGAAGATACCATTATGATCATGGTTTTACAGTTTTAAAAAATGAGATTCAGGGAGAGTAAGCAAATTTGCTTGAGGTCATGCAGTTACTAAGAAAAACTGAAACCATGTTTCATTTCCTTGTCCATATTCCCATAACCACCAAGCTGCTCACTTTCCCCACCCCTGGTCCCAGCCCTGAGGTCTGGGTCTGGCTCTTAGAAAGCTCCTGGGACTGATGTCCTGCCCTGGAGCCTGGGCGCTACATCAGAGCCTTGTTCCAGTTCCCAGTCACTGATCACCATGCACTGCAGCCTTCCAGGCCTCATGGGAACTCTGCCCACGCCATAGGCTGTCCTCCGGTGGTCAACACAGCTTTTCTGAGAACAGAGGACATGCAAGCAGGTGGGTCTCCCTATTGCTGTCTGCTCCTATCTCAGAGCCCTCAGGACACCATACCCATCTGATGACTCCACGTTGCCAAGTGCCCACCTCTGGGTTGCCCTCCAAGCTTACAACCCAGGAGAAAGAACCTGGGTCCAATCCAATCTGGGTCCCAGCATCTCTCTTGGATTGGATGTGTACAAGTCCAAAGCAAGGCTTCTGTTAGAGAAGGCACTTTATGAGATGACCTTTTGGTCAAGCTTCAAAGAAATGCTGATTAGCACATTAAGAGAACTAGATAGAGATGATTTGATGACAGGCCAACCTCATCTCCAGGTATAGAGCCCGACTTTCGCCACTCCATAAAAGCATCATTTTAATAGGCTGTGTGAATTGAGATGGGAAAAATATATTGGTAGGCGTGCTAAGTCATTTCAGTTGTGTCCGACTGTTTGCAACCCCATGGTGTGCAGCCTGCCAGGCTCCTCTGTCCTTATTTATATATAAGTTTTAAATTACTTCTTGACAAAAACATACAGTCAAAGTATATTAAATCAAAGAAACTGTCATGAAGCAGAAGTTAAAACCTCACCAGCACTAAAAAAAGAAACAGAACATTTAGCTTGAAGATGGCATTCATGGGGGTCATGACAGCTGTCATTTACTATTTGTGCATGTCAAGTAGAAAACGGTTTAGACTTATTTTGCATACCAAGTGATACACTGGCTCAGTGCAAAAAAGGAATGATAAGGTGGGCTGGTTAAAGATTAAATAAGCTGATGAAGTAGTAATGAGATCCCCATGCCTGGAGGGGTTTGACAGTGGCTGATCACCAAACAGTTTCTATATCCGATTTATGGTTAAATAGGGGATTTTTGCAGTTCCTTCTAGCTCTGTCATCCCCTCATTTCATTTCAGATAATATTTTCAAGTCTCCTCTATTTTTATACAGAGGTCACAGCATGAGATGGGAGTATATGACATGACTTGTATTAGAGACTAAATTCTATTCGGCCTTTTTTAGGCTCCTAAAGATGATTTAGAAAAAAGAATTAAAACCATTCTTTCCCATGTGCATATGTGTGTGCTCAGTTGTGTCCGATTCTTTGTGACCCCATGGACTATAGCCTGCCAGGCTCCTCTGTCCATGGGATTTTCCAGGCAAGAATATTGGAGTGGGTAGCTATTCCCTTCTCCAGGGGATCTTCCAGACCCAGGGATGGAACTCATGTCTCCTGCATTGGCAGGCAAGTTCCTTACTGCTGGCACCACTTGAGAAACTCCTTGTTAGTGGAAAAACACACTAATTAGCCATCTCAGCTGATTAAAAATGTTTGAGTCATATCAACTCTACTTGGTAAGGATGCGTAGACAGAACTGAAAATGAGGTTTTAAATGACAGTATGACAGTGTGACTCTGTGACTCTTGACCTCTTTATTGAGGACAACTTAAAAGGGAAATTTTTCAAGCTCTTTCTAGGGATTAAAAAATTAAAAAAATAAAAAGAAGAAAAGAATTTAGTCTTTCCCGAACCTGCCTATGACTTGCTTTATGATTAATGACTCCTTCTCACAAGAGTTATAAGAGTACTAAAAGGATTTTCAGTCAGTTCTTCACTGATAGAATTACAAGGAAAAGTCTTGCCTACTACCATTTGGATTCCCTGCAGCTCAGATCAAGTATTAGCTGAATAATTTCAGTGCAGCTCTGTTCACATCTTGGTATAGTGTATCATACAATGTCAGGACTCCATGGGATGGTGAAACAAAAATTAGAAATCAGATTTACCTAAAAATTTTGAGAAACTAAACTAGGCAAATATCCCTGTCCTTATTTTGTAAACTCAAGAATATTCAGACAATGATTCAATGTGTCAGCTGAGATTTCAGAATAAAATATTGCCTTCCAAATATCCTATCTGTGTAAATGTCTACCATGTGCAGGCCATTTTAATGGAAACTTTCAGTTAGTTTTTCTTAACCTCTTCACGAAAGTGAAGTGAAAGTGTTAGTCCCTCAGTAATGTCCAACTCTTTGCAGCCCCATCGACTGTAGCCTGCCAAGCTCCTCTGTCCATGGTATTTCCCAAGCAAGAATACTGGAGTTGCCATCCCTTTTCCCGGGGATCTTTCCGACCCAGGGACTGAACCTGCATCTCCTTCACTACGAGTGGATTCCTTACCGTCTGAGCCGCCTGGAAACCCTAACCTCTTTATAACTTTCGTCAAAGTTGCTGAGGTTGATATTACTTTTTCTGTATTTCTGACACTTCTTGTTTCTTGAAATGGAATTAAATATGCAGAGTTTACTCTTTCAGAGAAGACAGAATTTGGACTAGTCTGACCTGGGTAGATAACCTTTAACTATAAGCTTGTGGAAAGGCAGTAAAAAGATTACCGTTTGAGGGTACAAGGGGGTTAGTGCACTCTGTGGAAAGGAAAAATTTCATCGCTTCCCACGGGCCCCTCACCGCCATCGTGATTCTCATTTTATAAAACACCTCTCTCTAAATAACAATCTTTTCAGAGCTGGATGCTCACAATTCCAAACAGCTGCATTAGATGTAGTCGTTTGGGAAGGCATGTCACTTGACCCTTGACCCAAGGGCGGGGTCCTCCCGTTCCCAGGCTGGGTCACGCACTTCGCCCAGGTTATCCTCATTCCTGAGGAATGAAAAACAGCAGCGGTGTGTTGTGGTTACCATGGCACTGCTGGGTTGCTCTTTAACTTCCTGGTTTTCACACCATCACACAACTCATTTTACGTTTGTTGTTGTTGGTGTTTAGTCACTAAGTTGTGTCTGACTCTCTGTGACCCCATGGACTGTAGCTTACCAGGCTCCTCTGTCCATGGGATTCTCCAAGCAAGAATAGTGGAGCGGGTTGCCATCTCCTTCTCCAGGGGATCTTCCCTATCTAGGGATCGAACCCACGTCTCCTGCATTAGGCAAGCGGTTTCCTTACCACTGAGCCACCAGGGAAGCCCCGAGGTTCCCACGGCTACTCACAGATGAGCAAACAGGCCTTCCCACATCAGGGCCACATCACGGTGGGAATCTGCCTGTGTGCGATTTCCTGGCAGGTCATCAGCTTGCCCTTTTCCCTAGAAAACTACCTTTAAAAGTAAGGTTACCTTAATCTGAAATGTTTCATTAAAAGCAAATGAATTAGTGAAGAAATAGTTCTGATAGAAGAGAGGCTAATTATAAAGCCTTACATTTGGATGGTTCTTAATCATTTATAAACGTGACCTTGTGCATGCATGCGTGCTAAGTCGCTTCAGTCATGTCCGACCCTGCGACCTTATGGACTGTGGCCCACCAGGCTCCTCTGTCCATGGGGATTCTCCAGGTGAGAATAGTGGAGTGGGTTGTCATGCCCTCCTCCAGGGGATCTTCCCCACCCAGGGATCGAACCTGTGTCTGCTGCACTATAGGCAGATTCTTTACTGCTGAGCCACCAGGGAAGCCCTGGGTTACCTTGTGCTCCTTTCTTTACATATCAGTTAATTGAGTCTCCAAAGAACATCTTGGCTTTTGGTAAATGAAGTCTCAACAGTGCTGTAATGTGAGACGAAACTACAGAACCCACTAAGAACACCTCTGGCTCAGCACAAGAAGTGGTGGGGAAGAGATACGGCACCATAGCAGCGGAGGAGCTGAGCAAGGGCAAGGCTCCCTGACCCGCCTCAATTTACCTATGTCCCAGTCTAGCCTACTCTCCCGACCTCAGTGCAGACATCATTTATTTGAGCAGGAGGTGGCAGAGTATGTACTTGACCTCAGACACCAAATATATTGAAATGGTAATGTCAGCCTGATTTCACAGGCTTTCAGGTGAGCCCAAAGCAAAGAACAGGAGAGAAACCTTGATCAAGGATGAACTTTCATCCAGAGGCAAAAAGGCTTTAGAGACACCCAGATCTGACTGGCTATCTTAGGCAGGTGCTGCTGCAGACTGCAAGCCACCCTGCCCACCGCCCCACACGCATGGGCACGCACAAACATTACCTGCCTCGGCTGGTTGACTTTCGCGCCTGAAGATAACAATAATCGAATCACATCCAAGTAACCCCCTTGGGCTGCTAGGAAGAGTGCAGTGGCTCCATCCTGAAAGTTGGCAAATGTAAAGTGTTGAGAAATTATTTATTTTAAAAGAAATTCGATCTTATAATACTGATACATATGTTTAACACAAGTTTCCATTTCCACCCCTCCCTTCCCCCTTTTTACTATGCATGGTATTTCATTCTTTGAAGACTAGCTCTAAAACATCACACTAAGTCAGGCTGAAAGGTAAAGCTGAAAACAGACAGCCGTATAAGGATGAGTTACAACATATGCAATGACTGTTCACGCTACAGAATCTTGGTCATGGAGTTTATGATACATCTAGTTGCAAAACTCTGGTTTTCCAAAGAGTCATCATTTTTCTCTGTCCACACAGCTTTCTCATTAGCCGCCTTCTGCTTTTGTTGCGTGATCTCAGAGTCCACTCTCTCTTATTTAGGATTAAAAAAAATACACACTTAATACAATTTTCCATTGCAATCCATTGGTCACTAAGAGCTAAGTTGTTCATTTAAAAAACAAAAACAAAGGGTTTCCCTGGTGGCTCAGTGGTAAAGAATTCGCCTGCCAACACAGGAGACATAGGTTTGATTCCTGATTCGGGAAGATCCCACATGCCTCGGGGCAGCTAAGCCTGTGTGCCTCAACTACTGAGGCTGTGCTCTAGAAAGCATATCGAAACACGAAAAATCTAAATTTTTTTAGAACATTAAAACTCTAAAAAAACCACACACACTCACAAATGCATGTTAATTAAAAAACAAATAAACAACCAAATCCCCCAAATCTATTTTGTGTGCTTTTATGAATCAGGTATGAACAGAATCCTTTTAATTTTTGTTTGTTGCTGTTCAGTCACTCAGTTGTGTCCGACTCTTTGCGACGCCATGGACTGTACCCCGCCAGGCTCCTTTGTCCATGAGATTATTGTGGCAAGAATACAGAAGTGGGTTGCCCTTTCCTTCTCTGGGGGATTTTCCTGACCCAGGGATCGAACCCTCATCTTCTGCACTGGCAGGCATTCTTTACCACTGCGCCACCAGGGAAGCCCTATCCTTTTATTTAGATATTCCCTACTGCCTTCTCTTTTGTGTTTCCTTATCCATGTTCTCCAGACTTTCAGTTTCTCTATGCTTTAAAACACAAGATGCTTTCAGAATACCCATTCTGGTAAGAATGTCCATGAACTTTCTCCCTGCCAGGCCGGCAGACTCCAACAATACCTATACACACAACTAGGCAGTCCTGCATGAAAACCCAAAGTATCTGCTTGTTACCAAATTCTTTAGTTCTCTTTTTAACTGGGTGTCTACACCTTCTGGGCTTTTTTTCCTTGAAGACGCACCATTGGTTAATTTCAGCAAGTACAACGGTCCATCCAGAGTATGCCTGCCAGGTGCTCTCTCCACGCAGACAGCGCTCACAGGACAGAGCAAGCCTCATGACTTTCATATGCACAGTGGAAAACTAGTTCTCCCAGCTAATAACCACCCCTTCCGTCGGAACACTACCCACACGCTCATAGCACCTTCCCTGCAAGTCCAACCAGGTAGAGGGTGCTGGCTTTCCACTGGGTGTCAGCAGAGCAGTGAGGCCCCCCCAAGGCAATCATTAGGAAATTAATCAGCCTGGACAGATTTTAAAGCAGATGTTTGATACGGGGATACAATTTTCAGCTGTTCCTTACTGTGTTGCCACAGAAAGGCTTCTCTGACATAGTAGCGCTAACTCTTATGAATTTTCCAAAACGGATCTTCCCTGCATTCATTGGATTTTTTTTTTTTTTACCATGCATTACACAGTTCTGTTTTTCTAGAAGCTTTCAGGAATCATTGATGCCACTTCCCTTGCCCTGTATTTCAACTGTTGTTAATGGAAACATTTAATTTGGACTGTTCAGGTAAGGGTAGAAGTCTAAACATAAAATGGAAGTTCTGCAGCATGGAATTTTTAGGCTACCCTATCACAGAAGAGTTTAGAAACTCTGCATTTCTAGGCTTCCCTGGTAGCTCAGGCGGTAAAGCATCCTACCTACAGCGCGGGTAGACCTGGGTTCGATCCCTGGAGAAACTCTGCATTTCTAAAATTAAGTGCCGCCTCAATGAGCCTTATGGAAGAATGTTACCCAATAGTTCAAATTCTATGCTGTGCTATGTACTAGATTGCTTCAGTCATGTCCGACTCTTTGTGACCCTATGAACTGTAGCCCGCCAAGCTCCTCTGTCCATGGGATTCTCCAGGCAAGAAAACTGGAGTAGGCGGCCGTGACCTCCTCTAGAGAATCTCTCAACCCAGGGGTCATGAATTCTTTACCAGTGAGCCACTGGGGAAGCCTGGGTGGACTCAGGAAGTGAAATTTTTTAATACTCCCTGGGTGGTTCTCCTGTGCAGCCAGAGTTGAGAATCACTCCTTCAGACCATGGTCAAGTAGTTCAGTCATGGTACCAGGAATGCTATCGGCTCAAAGAGTGGGAGCAGGTTTTGAAGTGCCAAGGCTAAAGCTAGTTCCTCTGCACTTCAAAGAGGCCTGTGATCTGTCAGAGGTTCCGTGTAGACTCTGGAAAGGGTGTTCAAATGGAAAAGTTCACACCCACACATCTCATTACAGGGTTATGAAAGGCTAGTGCTCCTAAGCACAGGGTTCATGTCTGGTGGTACAATAGCCTCAAATACGGCTCCTAGATAAATGGAAGCAGGGATTCTTGCACTCCTCACCATAAGATTGTCCAGTCACTTCATCTCCCTATGTTTTACTTCTTCCTCCAAAACCAGAATAACATTTGCCATAAATTCTACAGAATTACAGCAACCAATAAGAGTACTTGGGCAATGTGCTAATTGCCAATTAGCTGCAAACAGACCCACATGGCAGTGGATAGAAACAGACC